GAATAATACATAGTGTTATATTAAAATGGATAAGGCAGCAACTGCAGCAGCAGCAGCAAGTGCAGCAGCAGCAGCAAGTGCAGCAGCAGCAGCAAGTGCAGCAGCAGCAGCAAGTGCAGCAGCAGCAGCAAGTGCAGCAGCAGCAGCAACTGCAGCAGCAGCAGCAACTGCAGCAACTGCTGCAGCAGCAGTAACTGCAGCTCCCTTTGATGCTGTTAATCCTGCATAATGCACATGCATATGCAGTACTAATCACATTCCTGCATTTCCCATAAATATGCTAAATTCCTTTTGATATGCAAATTCCTTTGTCAATGCGCCCAGCTTATATATATGCTCCAAGCTCGTGTGCTGTTTCATTCAGACTCTGTCGCCTCGACGGACCTGGTTTTCACCTGAGGACGGCTGCTTGCAGTTGTGGCCGAAACGTCGTGAGAATTGTTTTATTATGTTTTATTTTTATTATTTTATTACTTCCCTTCTACGTGACTTTACCGAAAGAACCAAGAAGAAGAAAAAAACGGTTTAAAGCCTTAACACATTCGCTATTTCTGTCTCTAAACAGCGGACAGCGATAACTCTCTGAACGACGATCCAATATGACCAAAATTTTTTTATGACACGCTTGCGATATAACAATCCATCAGGCAACGAAAACATTCACGGATTACACCGCTCCATCTCCTCGATGGACGTGGTCTCAGGCGTGTTCCCGATCTTGTCTGCCACTGAATAAATATTCCTGGCCATCGGCCACCGCCCCTTCTCGTGATTGCACTCTGCCTCCGCCCTCTTGGATTTCTTAACAGTTAAGATTGTGCCTTCAGCCTCTCACGTTTTCTCTGTGTGCTTTTCCAGGGGCCACAATGGCATTCTAAACATGCACCTCTCTCATTCAATTAAAACAAGCTGAATATTTCCAGGGACAAACACATGTTGGACAGTGTTACGTAAAGCATGCAAAAACTTGAATCTTTCCCTCGGCTCTGTTCCTGTGTCGTCCCCCGCCCCCCCCCCCCCCCCCCCCGTTGCCACACCACCGTCAATACGGCTGTCACAGGGTGAAAGCCTCCCATTGCCGCCGTGCGTGCATTCCGGGTGATTCGCTTGAATGAAAACACGAGCATCATTGTTATAATGCTGCGTGGAATGGCCAAGGGGTGGTACTGCGACAATGTTTATGTAACCAGCTGCAGTGTGAACAACACACAACATAGTCAGCTGGCGTGTCACTAACTTCCTGCATAATTTCCTTATAAACCTAAACATTTACTGACACTGTGCAAACTGCAATGGCTATACGATGATCGTAACATTGCTCGAGCATGGCTCCTCCATGCAGATGCTTGGAAGTTCAAGTATAATTTGCGGTAAAAATATCCAATACTTCTTACCACCACGTTCAAACTCATCTTGTAGTACCGTCTGCTCTCCTATAACGCGGTAGTAGTTGCGTTCCTGAAGCACACCGCGTTATGGACAGACCGCATTATAATAAATAATATATGATATAGAGTAAAGCACAGTCCGCGATAACAGGTGAGATGCGTACGCAGGCCGAACAAAGACCGAGGCGCGTGGGTAGTGTCGAGAAGCATCCAGCAGCATCCCACTGCCTTGTGCGATGCTGCACCGAGGCAGCCGCACAACCGGTCATTCCAACTCGCGCAAAGTCATTTGTTCACTCGATCGTGTTATTATCTAATTCGCATTATACAAAAGGTGTCCCTTAATACATTCATCATGGTTACATCCAATTCGCGTTGTGAAAACACGTGTTATAGAAAAGCAGACTGTAATTACGAGGAGATTATTTGAAGTAACCATTAAAACCAATAAATGCAAAGTGACTTCCGGATCTGAGTAATGCTATAGGCAGTTGACCTTTATTATGGTTATGTGTGGTTTTGCATAAGGTTAAATACCATCATACTATTCAAAATAATATATGCCTTCGGTTTCCTGGCTGGGCTCCTCTCTACCCCAACAATAACTCTGTTGTCCGTGGCTGCCGAGGGCTGCTGCCACAAAAACGGCGAAGATTCGGAAACCGTATCATAGATAACGACACACCGAAGGGGTCAGAGCAACGAACACGGAAGACTGGCAAGGTTAATTTAAAATTGCTTTTACTTTTCAATGCGCTATCAATTGTGAAGTCACCTCGCCGTGCGGGTTGGACGTGTGATGTCATTATCGCTCACTAAAAACACGCTCTGAGAACAAACACAGTTTAGAAAGCGGTAAAGGCTCTGTGCTAACGTAGGGTTTTTATTCCTTGTTTTCATCAAAGCAGCTCGCACATTCTAGTTAAACGCTATAGCAGAGGCAAACAATAACTTTGCAAGCTTTGCGTCACCACCGCCAAGGATACCAGGCACTTACAATGCACAAAGTGTTCCACTCAAATACGAGGTTGTTTTTTCCCCCCCTCCATGTATTTATAGACGGCGTGCCAGATCCATGGTTTCTGCGCACAGCCCGATAATATTATTTGATTTCATTTTCTACGCGACTTTACCGAAAGAACCAAAGAGTAATTAAGGGTAGCTCTTGAGGAATAATGCTCATGTTGTTATGTCCATTCCAGGTGACTTGCTGGTCATTCCTTCTGAATAACCCCACACATCCACAAACTTGTGTTCTCCACAACAATGCTAATGGTTATGTTGTGTTCGGCGTTATATCACTTTGCAATAAAATCAGGACCCATATCAAACGGCGAGGGTCCTTATCTATGGGACCATTTTACAGGTAGGAACAACAGTTCCACACTGCCCACCAGGGATTATTTGTCTGTCGTGCATAGCCCCTCCCAAACATGTAGTACGCTCCCGGATTGGTTGAAGTGCGTTACGTGACCGCAAGCTTTCTGCCGTGCACGAATGCACTGTCCAACCAGGTTCCTACCTGCCCACTCCGAAGGAACGTGTTTGCTGGCATCAAGATGATGAAAAAGCAATAGGCTTTGCCCTTTCCTTGCCGATAAACATCTGTCAGTTCACCAGTGATGATTTAAACAAGCCTGACTGCTGATGAGACACTAAATGTCGAAGCTGGTGGAGTTTTCTTGCATGACACCGATGCTACTGAAAAATAATCACTTGCAGAAGACTGTGTGGCTTATTGGATTTTTTTGTATTGTTGTTTACATGGAGGAACAGATATGGGGAAGGAGGTGAATGCTCTGCTTATTTTGTTACAGAAAGAACAGGTCATATATAAATCATGGCCATCATCACCACAACCAATACTGTTGCCACAAATGGTTGGCCTCTTCAGAGCAGAGCGTAGTGCAGCAACACCATTACTGTACTGTCCTTCTATGCTCCTGCATTTTTGCCACCCGCCTTCTATTGCCCGCCCCCACCTCCGACCAGCGTGGTGAAGTATGGTCAAATAACCCCCACGCCCTGCGCAGTCTGGAGAGGCCCTCTTCACGATTGACAAAAGCGCTGACCATGCACCAGCGGCAGACCATATGCAATAATATCAAAGACAAACAACCGTACTGGAAAACCAATCAATGAACCAGATAAGAGACATCACAAGGCGCTCACCTGGTTAAACACGAGCTGATAAGTCAGTCCATTAAGGAAGCATCCGCTTTGTTCGGGGATTTCTAGGCTTCATCCTTCAATGCATGAAGTGAATACATTTCTAATACGCAAGTCGACAGCTAACAGTGGATCACCCTGCATCAGCAAATGGCCTCAGAGGACTACATCAGATGCCAGCTTCTGAAATCACTCCAATAGGGGGCAGTGCCACGACTCAGCGGCAGGGCATCTGCTGCTCGTTGCAGAGGTTCACGGTTCGGTTAATACCGTGGGTGTATTAACCGTAAAATATACACACCGTCTGCTTCAAAGTAGACATTGGAGGTTCCGTAACATTCCAAAAGAGTAGGACATTGTGTGCCGGAGTAAAGGTCCACATTAACCAAATTTGAAAAAGTACTTTATTACTTCATTACATCGTCCCCTGCTGTGAAGCAGCAACCTCCTCAAAACGGGTGATGAGACTCAGTGCGAGGCCGTCCTCAGTAAGCAAGCGTATTAGTAAAATAATTATTATAATAATCGACATGTATTATCCAGACTAGAGGGACACCTGGCAAAGAGTACCCTTTGGATGTCAATAAAAGCAATATAATTAATACTCAAGAGCTGTAAATCAGCCACAGTCCAGAGCCAAATTAGATGTGATGGGTTTTTTGAGCAGTTATTGGTGACCGGGCTGAGAAGCCGGCTTAATCACAAGCATCTTCCCAGATTCCAATCCAGGCCCTCAGTGGTGTCAGCTCAGCCCCCTGACCCCGAATCACCAAGTATGTATTTTGCACTTCTTTCAAACCGTACATAGCAAATTGCAACAACAAAGACAGACAATTCACCTCCCCATATCTGTCCCTCCATATACAAAACAAACATCATTGTACACATCCCATCAGCCAGACAGTCTGCTGGGAGCGGCCTTCAACAGCAGCATTGGTTTCATATATACCATCTGCATCGCATCTCAAACATTTGAAAGGGCACCCCCGGAGTGGCAACTGTCCATATGCGTACGAAGTGCCCCCAAGTGGCACGCGAATGAGCATTATTCCGCCTATGGAGGCAACAGTGGCGATGAGCACTTGGTGTCGTTTTTTTCTAATTTGGCAATGGGGAGCATGACGTCGGCGCACAATGGCCGACTCATTTAGAATGGTGTCATGGAATTTGTAACATCCACCGTGAAGCAGACAGCACGTAGTGTTGTATGGTTCATGCACCCGCAGCATTAACCAGGGCGCCCGCCGGGCTACAACCACGAGCCTCGACAACGAGCGGCGGAACACGCAACCACTCGACCGCGTCACCGCTCCCATTTTACGAATGGGGATAAAAAAAAGGCATTTTTACGCATCCCATCAGCCATACAGCCTTCTGGGAAGTGTGTTATTTCAGTCAACGCTGCAGTGGAGTGTGGAGCGAAGTGCCTGGACTGAGTCTCACCTGGCCTCCTCCGTGCGGGGTGGTCGTCACCTGGCCGTTTCCTCCCACCTCGCAGCCCTTCTCTCCGACCGCCGCCGCCTGCGTGTTCTTCCCGATGCCCATAACACGGTGCACGCAACCCTGTGTGTGTGCACGAGCGAGGGTTTATTTTTTAACGTTTTGGTTTGGCCATGTTTGTTTGTTGTTAGCCTGGTAACTTTAATCAAAATTGTCTTATGGTTGTTATTGTTTGACTTGCATCCCACTGGGATTTTTGCACACAGCGTTGATATACGGTGCTTTTTCTGGAAGACTTTGCTGTTTTTTCCTGGATTTTTCTGTTGCGTGTAGTCACTTTAAGATGTTTCTTGTTCATGTTTTTGTTTGTTGTGGTTGCACTCGAGTCAAAAGCCGCATGGCTCACAGGGTTATACCTAATAAATTCAACTGAAATGAAAAACACAGTAATAATAGTAATTATCAAATACATTTGGTTTTCTAGTAATACTTATAGCACAAGGCTATCACGAAGGCGCTGCTGTGGTTCACAGACAGGCTACAGTAGTTTTGCAGTAATGGTGCGATATTGCTGTGTGTAATTCCAATTTAGTAATTTGTAGGTAAATTTCAAATTTATCCCACTCTTGTGAATGACGTTATGGGATTTTTTACGTCCCCTGCGAAGCAGAGGGCGCATATTCTACGGTCAATGCATGCGCTATAATAACCAAGGTGGCTTGCCGATTCAAACCGAGAACCTCTACAAACAGTGGTTCTTAACCTGGGGGGGTGCGAGATGCCCTTTCTGGGGGTGCAAGACATGGGCAGATTTTTTAGAAGGTAAACAATCTAAAACACAAATTAAGCACGGGCACGTAAGGACAACTACTTTGTTTCATCAAACCTATGCATGTATTTATTAACATTAAACATCGAGAACCAATGCTGCAGTAAAGGTTAAGAACCAATGCTCTACAACAAGCGACAAACGCACTACTGCAGGGCCACGTCACCACCCCCCAGTGAACAAACACTGACCCCAAACATACATCTCTATGAAAGCTCGAATAGATACGAGTCAACATGTTTCTTGTTGAATTTTATCAAGGGTATTATAATAGCTTGGGATTATTTGACCATCCGTTACTCATTTATTCACTCCAGTTACTGGCAGCCTTTCCCGTATGGCTCAACAGCTACTACCACCATGGTTACTGTCCCATGAACCTCACTCATGTTGAGGACTCAGTCTACCAGACACCCCACTGCTTTATCTCATCCTCAGTGTTTAATAACCCCAACACTACAGGTCACAACATATCTCTCGCCGTCGTCTTCTTCTCTCGCTCTGCCTCACTTTGGAATTCGCTCCCATCGCTTCTGCTCTCAAGCTCCTAAGAACAATAACTTCGCTCAATTCAAGAGTTACGTCTCCTCTTAGGAGCCATCCATTTGGTAGGTACGCAAAAATCTAGTAAAAACTTGACCCCTCCCCTCCTCCCTGTACGCACGCGGAATTTTTACACCCCCCCCCCCACCTGCGTACGTACACCTGACGCACCCCCCCCCCCCAAATCCTATAGAATGGCCGATATTTAATCCACGCAGAAACGATCAAGGATTAATAATATGAACGTGTTGAAGCAAACAGAGAGTCCACCGCCGGAATATGTAACTCATTTAAAGGCCAATGTAGACAAATTATTATCGAGGCTTCACCCCCCCCCCCCAACCCGTTTCCTATGTGTACTTACATTGTCAGTAGACCCCCCATACACAAGCGTACGCATTTGGGTTAACCCCCTTCCCCCCTCCATACGTACGTACTAAATGGATGGCCCCTAATCGATTGCAACTTTGACGTCTTAAGGCCACGGGGATTGTGCTCGGCAACTGTGAAAATACTGAAACTAAATCGTGAGCTGAGGATCATTTGTGGATGAATCACAAGCCGATGGGGAAAGATGACCAGTGATAGTGACAGCAGCCAGTGTGGCAGGTTTTTTTAAAATTGTGCTGTAAAAAAACGCACGATAAACACCCCCTGCGCATGTTAACCGCGAGACAGTGCAGAGGAATTTATGTGAGGTTGCAAAATATAATCGCATGGGCATGCCATTCCATCGTGATCAAAAGCAGAGGACAGCAAGCGGCAACACGCAACCAGGCTAAGCATGAGGATCATGTTCATTATTCTGCTAGTTTACTAGGAATGCCTCACCAAGTCTCAGGAAAGCCTCACAAGGTATCAAGCCTCGGTGAGAAGGGGATCCTATGTTTTTTCGGTAAAGTCACGTAGGTAAACAATAAAATAAAGGTAAACTAAATTAAATCACGACGTTTCGGAGGCAACACAAGCTTCCATCTTCAGGTGGAACCGTTACAGCCAAAATCACTAGTTGTTCTCATTTATTTTATTTTTTACCTACGTGACTTTACCGAAACAACCAAAGAGTATGAATCCTTGCAGTCACGAAAGCTTCAAATCTAGGATCCTATGTTGTTACTAAATGTAATCACCGTTATATAATTTGCAGGCAATTTTTCAGCACTGGGAAGTTTTTTCTGCAAATACCAGCTAAATTGTATATATATATTTTTTTTCTAGAGACGACAACCAGAGAATAGGGGGAGAACATACAAACTCCACAGATTTAAGCACCCATGTTAGGAATTGAACCCAGGGCCTTCTTGCTGTGGAGGCACAAGTGTCACCACTGACCACACCCCAATTGTACTTAACCAAATGTCAATTCAGAAGCAGAGTAACTAGTTCGTAGCAACACTCTCCAACTAAGCAGCAATACCTCCCATTAGCGCGGATGGCGACACACGGTGCGAGAGACGTTCAACGTAAATATATACAATAACGGCGCTAATGTAAATAGATAATCGCAATTCAAGTAATTTACAATATTTATAAATCAGACAATAGAACCAAACTGATTAACCTTGACGCATGAGCATTAATGCACGAGCACTCCTTACTTATCCCATCCGTGGCATCGTCGGTGAATGAACGGCTCTGTGCGCAGCGCAGCTCAAGTGGCCGCGGTGGTTTTCGCCCGACCTCCGATTTCCCCACGCCGAGATGCAACACCGACTCGACGCACACCCCCCAACTCGCGTGCTTGACATCACCGTTGTCTCTTCACCGCTGCTTCCCACCGCTAGCCACACAAATAAGCTCCAATGGGGGCATTCAACACTGAACCTCAATGGGTAGCACCTCGCCCGGTTAAATATTGGGTCAATGACATTACGACGCAGGTGCGACAAAAACGGAACCACCGTTTTGTGGGTGATGTTACACAAGGGGACCCTCCCGTTCCACAACCCTCGCTGACGTATTCCCAGGATACCGGCGACTTCCTTAACCAGTCTCCCGGGCTAATCGATCGGTCGGTGGCCACGAAATGTCGGGGGGCAGTCGGAGGCCGCCAGGGACACACGACCCGCATACTAATCGAGCCCGGCCACCTTTCATTCGCGGTGTCCGTGCGAAATCTCAGGGATTCGACTCTGTTCTTCCCTCCAGCTCCCGGCTCATCTCTCGTCTGTCCCTCCCCATCATTGATGCGTCTCCCAAACCTCCAGCCGTCCAAATTCAACCACAACGCTACCGACACACACCCTCAACCACTCTCTCTCTCTCGCCGAATACATCCTGCACAAGCACGCCTATGTGACGATATCACCTGCATGATGCCGACGTTTCTGAGATCTCAGACGGATGATACTAGGGATTGGGTGGACAGCCATGCGTAGATGCAGGCTATGCTGACAGCAGAAGATAGTGCCAGAAGATAAATTGTACTGTATGCCTATGCCCTCGTGTCTATGCTCCCGACCTTAACCACCCAGCACTAACCAGTATTATCACGTAACCCCCATGACCTTGGCAGCATGGGAAAGCCATCGTCCAACAGTGGGTTGACCAGAGAGTTACAGGATCACGTGAAATACCAGCACCTTGCAAACATCCACCATCACTCTTCTCCACAACCATCATCAATCACCACACTCCCTTGTCCGTTCTTTTTCAATCCACCCACCTACACTCACCCACCGTCACTTCCTCTATAATCATCTCCTCATAGCTCATCTTTTGTCATTTATGTATCCCAGGTCACTCTTGACAATGAGACTCTCCCCTCGTCTCCGGGGCGAATACAAAATGAACATTATCACTATTATCACCACCGTCCATTCTCCCCCGTACACCTTTGAACACTCGCCTCCCGTTCATTCATTCTCACGTCCTCATTATCTACTCCCACACACAACCATCCCAAGAACCTTCACAGTCAGCCTCACCCACTCACACTCGTCACCAGCTTCACACATTGCTCGCCAACCCATCATCATCATAATCATCATCATCATGCCCTTCATTATTCCTCATCCCTCGTTCACTCAATATTGAATCTTTCTACTGCCACATGCTCATTTCTCATCGGTTCCTTTATCCAGCAATTAGCTTCCCCAATCTGACGCTACACCTCATTTAATTACCATCATCACCACCACCACTCTCTTGATGACCCTTCATGCCCAACTCTTCACTTTACACGCCACTTCACTTACAAGACGATCTCCTGCTCACCTATCACCACTCCTCCCTCACGCATAACCACTCCTCTCTCATCTCTCATCCCTCACCACTCCTGCATCATCCCTCACCCATAATCACCCCTCCCTCATTCCTCACCTAACCTCTCTCATCCCTCACCACTCCTCCCTCATCCCTGACCTATCCTCACTCACCACCCCTGCATCATTCCTCACCCATAACCACTCATCCCTCACCACTCCTCCCTCATCCCTCACCCATAACCACTCCTCCCTCATCCCTCACCCATAACCACTCATCCCTCACCTCTGCTGCCTCACCCCTCACCACTCCTGCCTCCACCCACCCCTCCTGTCCCCCTTGTTGTCACTGCCGGATTGCCCAGCGCGCCGCTGACCCCCATGACAACAACCACCTTCAGCAGCAGCAGCAGTAGCTCCCTGATATTGCATTTAGTTCCCTCAGCCCCTCACAAAAACAACCGCGGTGGTACGATTACTGCTCGACATTGATTTTTTTTTAATATCCGCACGGCAAACCTGGAAACCCGATGACTCTCAGTTGCCAG